ATCAATTGAAATTTATGTCGCCAAAAGGAGCAGTATTAGTCATACTAAAACACTGAAACAAAATCAAATGTTTGCAAAAAAATAGCTATGGTAATTGATCTGTCAGAATTACAGGCTTTTGATAATAATTAACCCATACTTATTTTTTTATAAATAATCTGCACAAAGAAATAATTTGATACTATGATCTTAGCCTAACTTAAGACTAATAAGTATTTCAAAACTAACCCAATTTACAAAATTGTATTTTAACATAAGAAAGTTTCCAACTAAACTCTTAAATAATGTTTAATACTTTCTTTATTTGCAATCGCTACAGTAAAAAAGTGCGAGCATCAATTAAGCGGCGCCGTGGTGTATATCAGTTCTAGTTTATTGCTAGTCAACTAGTCGCGGAAGGTTCTAACAATGTGTGTAAAAAACCAATTAGCTTGTTAAGGTAAGCCGCGTGCGCATCAACTGACAGTGTGTTCATTTTTAGACCACCGCGTTGCTCATTTGCGTTCTATATGTAATGCCTGATAGATTAACAAATCCTGGTAGAATAACAATCATATTATTTATTTTTTACAACACTTCGTTGCATACAGAAATATTATACAGTTGATCGCTTTGAAGCGATGTTTTTTTTTTGTATAGAACAGGGGGCAAACGGTCAGGAGGCTCACCTGATGTTAAGTGATACCGCCGCCCATGGACACTCTCAATGCCAGAGGGCTTGCGAGTGCGTTGCCGGCCTTTTAAGAATAGGTACGCTCTTTTCTTGAAGGACCCTAAGTCGAATTGGTTCGGAAATACTTCAGTGGGCAGCTGGTTCCACAAAGTGGTGGTGCGATGTCAATGATGAATGTGAGAAAAAAAGCAAGAAATGCAAAAATTAATAATTTATTTATAAATAATTACCACGAAAACAGACCCAGAAATGTGTTCCTCGGCCGTTTTATTTATTTGAAAATGTTTTTATATGAATAATATACACAAACATTACGAGCACTTAAATAAACAATGACTGCAAATGAATTAAATAATATATTAGGATTAGGAGCTAAATTGCGGGAGATTATATAACTATAACTTTGCAGTCTAGACGGGTGATAAAAAAGATTATGTCACTATGATTTGTGGTATGATTAATTCTAAAATTAAATTCAATATAGGTACCTTCTTGTATGCTTTCTCACGATCAAATACTTAATATTATAAATACGTAGTTTTTTTTAAATATAAAACAGGAATGCATTACCCATTAGGTGAGACTTTTGCCCGTTTACATGATTTTCTTTATAAATTGTACTTGCAGTTGAATTACATATTACTTTTTGATCATGTTGTAAAAAATGCATTCAATTAGTGTTACAACATTAACTTTAGTTAGACAAGGAATTTTGTCAGTCCTGTAGCGACACCTACAATCTGCGGTTGCAATCACTGCGAACACGTGATACCCTGAAACGCGCTAACAAAGTTGTCCCAACCGCTAAGTTGTATATAAATGCAACTTAGCTAGACTGGCCGAGGACCCTACCTATAGGACATCCTTCCTCCAGATTCTATTGTTAGAATACTTCTTCAGGATAATTTCTTAATACACAAGCATATGCTCTAATAGAATTTCTATCCCATAATTCTAATAGGATAGATGTCGAATATTACCGCGGTATTGCGATATCGGATAGTTTTTAATGGTAAGATTTAGGGTCTAAACATCAAAATCCAATACTTTTTTGATATACGGGCGCACACAAACTTGGCGCAAAGTATCGATCCTGAATCTCATTCTAATATCGCCAGCTTACTTAAACACAATGTATACACATATCAAGTCAATATTATAGATACTACTCAAACAAATGCACCTCAAAGAATGTCTATTTACATTCAGAATTCTAAAATATTCGTCGACGAAGCTAAAGGCATGATAATATTCACATTTGTTTAGATAAGCTACATTCTGCGGGCGATACTCAAAGATTGTCTTCAATAGTGTGAGAACGTATGAGGTGCTTAATTTCCCACGCGTGCCAGACGAGATAAACAAAAACGCCCGCGCAACTTAATGAAGCAATTATGTTATTACCGTTGCGACTTATTAACAATCCGATAGTCAATATTTGGTAAATCGCTGACCACAAAAACTAATGAGGTGTACTTTTAATGAGGCGAAATTCAATACAAAAACTTATATTAAATATTTTCTTGACATATAAATATACAATGCACAGATAATAAACATCTTAATGTTGAAACATTCGTCATGAAAAATATACAGACTTTTCGAAATTAGAGCAATATTTCTGCTATTTCATAATTGTATTTTTCATTTATGTTCTTTAAACATATCCATAGAAGTATTTGTTCTACTCGGTGGTTTGTGGACTTTGTTTTTTCCGGTCATAGATAGTGTCCAGGGTGTCTAGACTTTGATAAATAAAAGATCAACTAAGCTAACCTAGTTAAAAAATGTTAATGTTGTCAATATGTTCAGTCAAGTGTACGTAGCTGCCGTTTTGAGGTATGTATTATTTATTTTGATATCTATTAAGTATTTTTGCTTTGATTTTCCTCAATGCTTAACCATTTGTGTCAAATATTATATCCGTGTCAACATTTAAAATTCCTAACACAGTGTTTTTGTGGACAAATCGTGATCTGTTTGCAGTTAAATTTTACTGTTTGGGGTAATCAATGAATAATAATTTAACTTGGCAAACCATTGAATTGTAGTATATCTTCATTTAAAACATATATATTTAACGTGCTTCGTTTCTAAATTACATAATTGATTAAAGTTGTCGTTGAGATTAAACTTTAAAAAAAATTGAAACTTATAATTTCAATTTTCAATTTTGTTTAGAAACTTAAATACATTATTAAACATTTGCTGAATTTCTAATTGTGATATTTTTACGTTCTTATGCGATAATTTTCTATTGTAAAAAACGGTTTTCTATTGTTTCCAAAGTAGATAAATATATATTTATTAGAAAAAGAATTAGATATTGCAAATTCTTTTGCATAAAACTTCGTTCGTGTCATCGCTTTGTTTAGTCTAAGCCCTTTCCGTCTGTCGATAAATCTTTGTTGACGTTTCATTGTAGACGAAATAATGTACCCAGATCCTTATCGGAGGAAGTAATAACGGTTAAAGAAAGCAATACATATTTATGTCACTGTTATAGGTCTTGTTAAAGTCTTGCCAAGATCATAATGGACATCTGATACATCGCCTGCACTTCGAAATTCTAATCGTACACAAGAAATAAAAAAAACAATTATTCCGCATAGACGTGTCAGTTGGGACTACCAAAGACAATTTATGTAAGTTTTTAATTACTTTTAAAGTTATATACTTATATATAATAATATGTAGGAGTACTCCTGAATGTTTTACCTACGACAAAAGGTACAAGACTCTTTTTCTCGCCACCACAGAAAAAAGTGTTTATTCTTTCCTTCTTTAGTTGTCTTTGGCGCTTTAAACATATTAACATAAATACATAACGTTAAGTTATTGTTGAATATTTATAGCTTATGTATTGCGTTTTAAAACAATATTTAGAACTATAAATGCATTTTATAATCTAATGACGGTCCAAGAATGACAATGAAAAGGCGACCCACGCTGAAATTAAAAGAAGTGCGGCTCGCGCCATTTTTACCTGGCCGGAAAAAAATCGGGTAACATTCGAATTTCGAATGCGGGCTTCGTCCATTTGTCGTAGGGGTTTTAAAGTTTTTGTTTGGTTTGAATTCCGAATATCAGGCGGTGTTTAAGATGTCTATTGTAATAAAACAGTTATTTCATTCTTTTTCAACTTAAATTGCAAACGGTAATTGTTTATTGTTTCAAGATAACATCTTTAAGTTGCCGCCTTTTTTTTAAATGGCGTAAGAAGTTGATAACTGTTTTGTCGGTTTTGCTTAAAAGTTTTTGATAATGTGTTGTTTATTATAATGAAAAACAAAATTAGTCTTATTACTGTTTTTACAAATCGTTCATCTTATGTTAAATTGTATTAACTGAATGGTAAAAAGAGTCAAATCAATGATTCGTTTACTTAAATCTTACATTCCAAAATTAGAGTGTTAGTCCGAAAAAATAAATAAAATATAGTTTTTGTGTATAAAGGATATATATAAGTATATATTGCTATTTGATTCGTCATTATGTCAATAAATTTGTCATAGAAAAACCACATTCATCACTATTTAGATATTTGTAAATTGTCAATACGTAGGTACCTATACTACAATCATGGCCATATAAACTTTACTTTGCATAAAGTACGCTTACATGCGCGATTATTGAAATCTGAAGCAGAAAAAATGAGGATGATATTTCATACTAATTACGTACTGTATCCTGCAGTCCCTGGGAAAGTATTTTACGCGTGCACGTAATTTAATCCGTTGGGCTATTACGAAATGAACTAACCGGTATTTAATCGCACGATTCTAAAAATGATATTAAGGATAATCGTATAATGGCCATCCAATTTTCTCGCAAGTTTAATGAACAATCATTTGAATTTGGAAACAACATAAAAATTAACAGAAAGCATCTCGTGGTTTGTTATTGTTCAATCGATATGTCTTTCGTGTACGTGACTGACGCTCACGATCGTTGCTGAGCAGTCAAAATGTGGAGTAAATAATGATACATATTCGTGTTTCTATCCTTAAGTTTTGTTTAAATTGTACAATTTGCAACTAAGAAAGAAGATGGGTAATAAGCCGGCCGAGTTCCACACGTGCGTGCTATGAATGGCGTAGGGCCGAGAAGGGCAGGGCCTGAGGAAGGGAAGGGATAAGGCTTTTTTCAGGCAGTACATACCGGCGCGCGCTCGGGAACGCGCGTGTCGAAAATCGCTAGCTTTCAATTCAATTCTGTGATCGCGTCAAGGTTAGATTTCAGTTCCATAATTTTCTATTAATATTCATAGCGGTGTAAATTTTAGTTGAATATTTTAATTAATTAATTGTGTTTTGTAGATTGCATTATGGCGTCTGACCCGGCACCGTTATCAAAAACTGCAAAATATAAGAAAATAACGAAGCCACTTTTGGAACGAAAACGTCGCGCGCGCATCAACCGCTGCTTGGATGAACTTAAAGATCTCATGGTTGGAGCTTTAGAGGTGAGTTTGTGTTTCTGATCGCTTATTCCAAACTATTTTCATGAAAAATAGGTCTGTGAAAAAAGTATAGTACCAGCTCGGTTTTAGTTTTTAACAAAATAATTTGTTTGTTTTTACTTTTTTATATTTATTTTTCTATTTTCGTGGGGTGTATATGTTTTTAAAACTAGATCCAAAATAGTAAAAAGTTAGATATAGAGTACCGTTAATGTAAAATTGCATATATTTTTCCCGTCATTAAAAGAGCAATCCATCTTCCATTCACACGCCATATATTTTTATCACGAACCGGTCGTCCTTCTGTTTATTAAACTGTGCCTTTACTGAGACCAGAAACAGGTATACAAAAGTTAAAGCCCATTAATAACGAGCGAGTCATTGGTACAGTTATATTAATGTGACGTTCACCCTTGTAACGTGAGAAACAAACGCACCTGTTTAATAAGACTTTGTTTTGTTTTTTTCAACAGATAGACGACGACAACTTAAGCAAGTTGGAAAAGGCAGATATCCTTGAATTAACCGTTAATCATCTTACAAAGTTGCATAGACCGAAAGACCCAATTCTAGAAGCGAAAAAATTCCACGCTGGATTCGGGCAGTGCGCCGCGGAAGCATGCAGATTTATTATGTCCGTGCCTGATTTAGACTCTAAAGTCAGTCAGAATTTAATCAGTCATCTATCAACGTTAATAACCGCTCAACCATTGACCATACAAGTACCAGAGAGGCCCTCGTTCTCTCCACCAACATCGCCTTCATCTGTTTTATCGGACCGACAACATTATTACAGTGACCACGATAGATCTTCATCAGACGCTGAAGACTCAGTATATGCCGTGGAAGGACCCGCTAAACAGTGGGCATACCCTAAACACAACAAGCCGGTTAGTCCATCAGGTCTTTTAACGACTGTAGACAAACTTGTTCCACATCAAAATGACCCTACAATGAACGTACACCGAAATGGAAGTTACTTCAATCGAGTTCCGGCCGAGGCCAAAGACGTTATTTTGCAAAAAATAAGACAACACATTATGGACAAGCGTGGTAATGAAAACATAAATAGCGAGGTGAACGTCGAATTACCTGTTGAACATAAATACTTACCTCGCGACGAAATGTACCGAAACGACTACTCATATTACTCACCGAATTACTCAAGCGATACCTTAGACTTGAGGAAAGTTCGATCGCCTCTGAAGTCATCGCTGGAATATTCTCAGGATACACGATCCGCTAAAGAACCTGATTCTAATGTGGAAAGTAAGCCAGCGGTTCCGGAACACTGCGAATCACCAATGGATTACAGTAACTTACCGCCTAAAAAGAAGAGGAAATTAATCGAGTACCAGGAGTACAAAAAACAAGAAGAGGCGAGGCGGCAGCAAGCTTTTTATGCGAATAAAAAAGATAGCCCATGTGAAGGACCACCGCGCTCGGATCAAGAGTTAGATGCGAACAAGTGGCGCCCGTGGTAATTGTTCAAGTTTTTTGCCATTGTGATAATTAACTCTTCCATTTCAAAGCTTTAATTCGTTTTAATGTAGTAGTAGTTAGCGTAAGTCACTTTGTGCCTTGTTTACGAGTCTATTATGATAGCAGTGCCATGTTTATTTTGATCTCGTCTTCCTTTAAATGTTTTCTGTAATCGGAGTCTTCCCACGTTTTACAATTGGCCCCAGTTTACTGACTTTTAATGGAATTGTTTTCGCTTAACCATTATAAGGAAAACACAATGTTAAGAGTCAGTCAACATTGGCATTAGTTTAAGATATTGTAACATTAGTTATAAAATGCATTTTTATTTGTGTGATTTATAGTTATCATAATGTTATGTTATAAAGTCGATAATAAATAATTTATAAATAATTTCTGCATTTTAAAATACCATACTACAACCTAATACTCCTTTTATATATTAATATATCCACACTAACTGCATAATCCGCTAGTGTTCTTAAATAATTCATATTTCATTGCCTATAAGTTTCGGCAGTTACTTGGATACAACACTTAACATATTAATTTCTACCTCATAGGATGGCTAGTCTACTAAACACACATACGAGATAAAATGTGTATTGTTGGCACTTTTTTTTTATTTACAACAATATTACTAGGCAAGATGAGACGTAAGGGATAGATCATGTAAAAAAGGGTGCGTGTACTTATGTACGCGCGTAAGAAGTTATACTTCTTTGGCATTATTAAAAATAGTTTTTGATTGCATGCAAATAATTAATTACAATTAAATAATCAAAGACTGGAAAAGGAGTCATTATAGTCAATTAAGTTCAGTTTACATTTGAAAAATTAAATAAATAATTATTTATTATTATTCTCTTACATTAAGTGTAACATAAATTCTATTTAGTTAAAAGTATATATTATTATATATTTAGAACATCTCTACCAAACACTAAGAAGTATGTTGTAGCTTTGGCAGTATTGCACAATATAAAATTAATAAATTTCTTTGAAAAAATAATCAAAACTCCTTTATTTGTTTAAAAGGTAAATGACAAATGTCATTATGGTCATTCAAAATTCTTGGCATACGAACTTCACGCATATTCTATTTCTTTTTACTTGTAGATTGTCTTATTCCTATCTCGCTCGCGCACGCTATAATCACACTCCCAATTTTGTGTCATAGGTGCGCGCGCATCGTAAAATTTCACTCTCATAAATTTTTCATAACGCGCCTAAAGAAGTATAACTTCAAAAACCTAACAAAACGAAGTCTGACAAATGATTCTGTCCAATTAACTGGAATCACTTTATTTCCAAAGAATGTATAATATCATGTTTTAGTATGCAAAACAAACGTTTCTTATTTAGAAGTTACTTTAAACTGAAAAATTTATTTAAATTACTAGATTCTATTATTAGTTATAGTTTTATTCGAAATTTTAATACGACAGTATTATATTATTTCAATGTATTGACTATTTGATACCATTTATAAAAAATCAACTAGTAAGCCTTATGGCTATTAAGAATACAGGGTCTGTCATCTAGCGACTATTTCACAAGAATGGGTTAGATAAGGCTGCCATCTACATTTTAACTTTGATCTGCTTATGTGTTGACATGTACTCTTAGACACATCGTTTTAAATATAACCAACCGATGGCGCTATTACATTTTGATTAATTATTAAATGGCATTAATATAGTAGTAGTTTTTTAAATTTATTCTATAAAGAGATCAAGAAGATATTTTTAAAGCATATTTCAATGCAATTCCATTTATTTTTATGTCTGTAAAAGCGCCATCTTATAACTTTTGTGTTAAGCAGTTGGAGGTAGATAGCGCTCTCTAGGTGAAAAATATAACATTACAACACCAAGATGTTAAAACGTAAAATGTATATATATTTAGTTTATTGTTAATTATGGAATAATTTTAACAATACACATTTATATTAACCATAATAATAATTATATATTTATATATAAATACTTGATTTTGAACAAACTTAATTGAGAAAATTTTAAAAGTACTGTATTAAGTAATTAAAAGAATTTGTCTTTATAGTTTTTAGTTCGAATGGTATGGGTAATAAAATATTATTTCAATTATAAACTTTACAATCAGGACTAAAGTTCATTAGCTTCTTCCCAATAGATGGTAGTTCTGGTCCTCGAATTATATTGTATACATGGTATCATGCTATTCATCGACAGATGTCGCGTTTTACAACAAAACTTACGCACGTAGTAATCGAGTATAAAGTAGTGGGGCACGTCTTCATTCATTCATGATAATGCCGTCGGTATAGTCAGTAGCGAACAGCGATGCGTGGTTTGTGAACGAATGATGTACGCGCAAATAACGAATTAATTCGAATTTCAAAACGAATTTGACAGTTTGTCATCCCTCATTCTTGACTTATAATATTCGGTGGGTTGTGGTTTTCTTAATTGAATCTGTGAATTAGTGGAATACGAGATGAATTTTTATTATTGTGAAGTGTTTTTAAGTGAAATGTTGTCTTGAGGGGCAATGCTTGTGGGAGAGCAGTCGCCGGCGCCGCGGGTGGTGGCCGGTTTGCGAAAATTACGGCCAGAATTGACACCAGGACCAATACCTTCTCCGGCAGATCCTAACCTTAGGATATCAGGTTTGTTATTCTTCTTAATCTTTACTTTCTGTACTATCCATACATAAGTTATTAAAGGTAAACATACTTTGCTTAGCTGACAAAGTAAGATTTGAATACTATAAGATTTACTTATTTAAAAAAATGTAGGTTATTATTGAAACCATAAATACGATAAACAATTGGTACCTACACAATGCGTTTTTCATAATATTTGCATGGAAGAATATTCTAAAGCTAGATAATTTGCTTTCATTTCGCATCAATAGGTCATTCACCCCAGAAAATACGAATCACAAAATTTTAAACTTAAATTACTAATTATCTTTTTTGATACCACACTATTTTAAGTATAACCGCAATAAGTATTTACTGTTTATATTATCTAGTAGGCCACCAGTAAAACCAGACAAATCCTATACAAATATTTTGCTTAACTTAATTTCGAAATCCTTGAAAGGACAATGACCTGGTTTTTTTTTTTTTCGTGAATCACAATTGAATTAGAATTTATTAAAACGAAAGGGTCAATTGCGACCCGCATCAAACTGTCATCAGGGATTGGATAAAGAAGGGTGCCAAAACAGCTGTTATGAACAATAATTGGAGATATAACGAACATTGCTTAACAGCTGTTTGGGCACACCCATCATGACCCAGTTTGGCCGTAGCCATCGTTGATTGATGTGCTTCTATGAGTATCAGAAGCTATCAATTAGAAAAGAATCATTCACATCATTAAGTAAAAAACCAAATAATAACAACTGCTCATAGTGAATTACCAATCTTTTGGTTTCAATAAGACTTCCAGCTTTTAGGAAGTTGATTCATAACTGAAACTTTTCAGATCCAAGCTTTTTTTCGTATTTTTAATTATTAAATGATCTACTTGACAGCTGCTTTTGCATTTGACAATTTCATTGATCTACGAATCTTGGCAATTGCAACGAATGATTTTAGAACGTAATAACTATTGGATTGCAATAAAATTATAATATTCAAATTTTGAGCGGTTTGCACATAAACTCGCGGCGAAGGTACCTAATTTTAAATGTTTTTTATTAAAGTTATATTTGTCAATTTGGTGAAGCTGGGCATTACCCTGGTTAGGTGAGAAGGAAATCCTGTGGCCTCCGATAGTGGCATATCTGACGAAGGCCATGGGTATAGTTCACTACTCTTTGTCCTTCCTTATTTGCTACTGATATTTATATGTTAAGTATTTGTTTGGCTAAAATATATATTCAATAAAATCTATAAGCTTACAACAATGCATAAAATACTTTCGCGGTTAAACAATTTATCGTGCGTGGTCATACGAGTACTTATAAGCAAAATGGATCTCAGCACTCAAAAATGTAGCATTATTATCCTTTGGATCTTATGAGTTAGATATCTATAGATTTGAATTGACCTATTTACTGTTAAAGCACTAAATCGTGTTTATAACTAAATGAATATTAGTTTATTTGCGAGTTTAATGCATTACAACAAAATCGAATTCAGTAGCTACGAGTTTAATATTTTATAAATTTGTATGTTTACACGAGCATTATAATGTATATCATTTTAAGATATTCAATAACTTGAATATTGAATATACCTTGTCAAATACCACGTTTCCATTTCGCCTGATAACATTTAATTGGCAGTAAAAATAAAATAACAGCATTATCTATGAAGAAATGACGATAATTAGCATACTTAGAAAAAGGAAGGTCTCTTGATAAAAAGAACAAAGAAATCACTTACTGTATCCACTTTTTGACTGTTTTTGTGGGCGTTTAGAGAATACCAATGAATCACGGCTGATAAAATTATGCGTACCAATTAGTATTATCAGTTATGTCATTATTTATTTTTAGTACAATGTTAAATATATTCTAAGTGCAAAATGGAGTTTACGGTTACTAAGACTGTTTAAAGGGCTACAAGTTTATTCTAAACTTATCTGCATTTGTTTGACAATTCTTTTTGCTGATGACATTTTAGTTCTAACGATTAGGTCAGGAATTTGTGTGTATTAACAACGTGATTTGTATTGTTTTAACAATACAGAAATAATAATTTCTTTAATAGCACAACAACGAAATTACCGTTTTTACGAATAGAATACTCGTTTTAATTTCCACTTATGTTTATAAGTGATTAACATTCTAAGATCACAATCTTCTTTCATAGATATTGAACCTGCGATATCTAGGCAGTTTTAGTATACATAACGACCTTGACGATGTGGGGATGTTTGTAAACAAAAACCTAAAATATTTTTATGTAGGTATTGTATAGAAATACATAAAACGAGGCGTCTTTGGGTACATGACATTGAGTATATTTCTGCCTACAAAGATAATATTCCGATGTTCGGTGCTTATGAATTTATGCTTGCGTGTTGTGTGTTAATAAAGTAGGTTTATCGAACCGGCTGCCTATGAAATTGGGACGCTCGGCATCTCAATACATAACAAGTTTTATTTAGCACACAATAGGGATTATAATTATAACCTCTTGGTTGTTTATGCTTCACAAAGTAGGTTACATGGGCTCGGCCGATAAAATTTAAAAACAATTGTCTGCTTTATTTTTGTTTAAGGACAATCAGTATTATAAGAAAGAATAACTTATAAACTTTATTTTAAAATGTATTCAATCATAAATATGGAATGTCATCTTGGTTCTTTGCAAATTAATAAAAGTGACACACTCTTCAGCTATTCGAAGCTTATGTGTTTATGTTATTCATATCAATTGCTTAGTTAAGCATTAGACACGCTAATAGTTAACAAAGCACGATATATGACAATAGCTAAAAGAAATGATATACATACTTTATATGTAAAATAGATTATAAACTTATGACCTACAACATGCTCAACTATCACTATTATAGTGTGAATATATAAATTGTTTAGCGTTAAAATGTACGGGTATGCGCTAGTACTGTGTTTCTTCTATTAGTAATCCCGCATTCCCAAAGTCGCACCTCAGCCCTACTGACATTGAGAGATTGGTTCGCTATTGGTAGTTACAGAGTAAGGATACAGTTCGAGTCAGTTAATTTAACTGTTTTATTTTTGCCCTCAGGTGTTCTCAGACAGTATTACAATGACGATGACGTTTCCTGGGCCTGGGTTCGGTGTGCAGTACGTAGCGGGTGTCTGTTAGCCTATAGAGATGGTACAATACCCAGGCGACCTGCCGCGAGGCTGCCCCTCAGACATTTGCACCTTCGGTGTGCCCCAAATCTGCTCAACGCTTTCCAGCTCTCTAGACTTCGGGATGACGCCACCGTCGCCACATTTCAGGTACTGCAAATTAAATTTTTATATTTTTATCAACAATTCTAGGAAATCTTAATCACTGAATTTAGCTATCAATATTTACGTATTATTAAAAGGATTTGAAAACATATCTGCTTTTATTTTCTTATCTTGCCGTGTTTTGTCAGATATAGCAGCTTGGTGGATAAACGAACATTTCTGTAGAATTCTAGAAACACTTACTAATGATTACATGAGAAAGTTTTTATAATTCAATTTTTCTTCGTATCATTTATTGCAATTGTTAATTCGAATTATATATATCTTAAGAAGTTAAGAAATAGCTTTTAATTGTCAGACTGCACATTCCCATACGAACGGATGTAACATAAGTAGTCGACTTAGTATTATAGCTACATTATTTTAAACATAATGCTAACACCATATCGCATTTGCACGTGTGAACTTAATCATCATAATGCAAGTGTTTCTTAACTTGTTAGGTTTACTATACATGAGCGAGGTTTTAATTACGTCGATTATATTTACGTAAAAGTCGATAAAATTACATTACCGATTTGGGATACTTCCATTGGTTATCTAAATATTACATACGAGTATGTCCAGTTAGTTGAGATTCAATGTGAATTTATTATAATTATTGCAAAATTTTGTTTATTTTCGTCCGTTAATCGCCATTTATTTATTAAGGTTTATTCTATCATAGTATATGCGACTAAATATTTAGTATTAAACGCATATGATTAAAAGCCCTATTAAAATGTACGAAGTTAATTAAAACGGAAATTTATTGTCTAGACCAACCCATGTGTCTCATGAAATATGAATTACTTGACTAGAATCTATAATGTTTTAGTACTGTTTTTATAATAACCATTTTAATCGAATATTAAAGCTCATTAAAAAGTAAAGATTTAAAGTGAAGTATTAATATAATATAAACAACTGTAATTAATAAATCTCATAATGAATTTAAGAAAACCAGCCCTGGAACAGTCTGCTCCCCCTCATAATACTGTGCCAGGGCCAATTACAACAACAGCACACACGCATTATACATTTAAAACGTACCTTGTTCTTTAAAAAAAAAAAAATTCGCATTCTTTTTATTTTTTTATTATTGTTATTTTGTGTTTTGTTATGTCTATGTAAATAGCAGAAGACATTTTTTACATGACTGTCTCGGGCAACATTTCTATATTCTTCACAAGCGAATAGATAAACAAGCACTTTTTTTTCACGTTACTATTGTAATAACTTACCGATTATTTTTTACTAGATAATCTCATTAGTCGTTACCAAATAAGGTAGTTTTATTGGACCTGCGGTCGAGCCAATAGAACGGGGTCATGTTTTTATCTTTTTTCTATGATTGTATAAACAAGTTTGTACAAAATTTTTTTGTCGAATAACCTTGGTATGTTCTAGTCTCGTAATTGTATTCCATTCAACTTTCTTGCTTTAATTTTATCAATTATGAAGGTAGCTGTAATAAGAACGGACATGACAATTATTAAAAAAATTTAGAATATATTTTGATATAATCACCGTATAATTTTGAAGAATAGTCTTAAATGAATAAAATGTCTAGGATCCTATTACACGTTTCGGATCTTGTAGGGCTCGGTACAAAAGGTAAGAAGTCTTAAGATGTCGGTTCCCCTTCGAAACTTCTTTCTCACGATTTACGTTAAATAGACCTCAATAAAGCCCAACACCCGTAAATCATCGCTCCATTGTGCGTACCTCTTGATGGCCCTATTTACCATAAGAAGGGCTAGAACGCGAAGGTGTTGATACGTAAGGGAAACACGTTGTGGCAGGACTGTTCTACCGTTTCTCTATAATATACATATTATAACTAGTTCTCTCCCTTAATAATACGTCACCCTCTCAATGTGTATAATATAAAATTATTCAAATTTTACATCCTCCTAGATCTCAACGAATCTATTATACCGAATGACTGGTAATTTTTTTGTTGCAGGCTTGCAATGCGACGGAATACGCCCGGTGGGTGCGAGCGCTGTGCGTTGAAATACTTGGACAGACGCCACTACCCCAAGTTAGGTTCCTCGATGTCTTGCCAGCGGCTGACACGAACCATTCTTACCGCAAACCAAAGACCACGCTGCAAGAAACGCCAATGTGTCCTCCCAGACCACCCCCCAGAGCGAGACGGAGATTAATAACTATGTCCGAAACTCATTTACCTCGAAGGGATCATTCACCTGCTGCGACGGATGAGGGCATCGTCGTAGAAGACGACGATTACGACTCATCGTCTGATCGCAGCCTCGACCTATCGCTGTCTCTTGATGGACTAAAAACTATAGATGTCGTTGACGCACCACTAAAAACCGAAATAAAATGTGACAATTGCAGTAAACTTAGCAAAAGTCCTCGTCACACACTTCCCAGAGCAAGGTCGACTGATACAGAATTAGGACGACACCGATATCTAAAACGCTGGGAGGGCACGACCGGTGGGGCAGAAAGGGGGAGGTATGCTATGGAAATGGCTAGGCGGAAGACGGCATCGCTAGAGAACCGTGCAAGATCGTGCTCACCAAATTCTCATGAAATAGTATCAAAATATGTCCCGGTGAGAGAGAGGCGGGCGTTGTTCGAGTCATTGTCACAGACTGGGGGCAGCTTGGCGCGGAGTAGTGAGCAGCTGGCTCGGCCAGTGCCTGTGACTGAGACTCCTCGGCGGGCCGCATCATTACATGACCTTCAGGCTCCTCCGACGAGGTCAGTGAGTGACTTGAGGCAATTCTTCGAGGCGGTGGCGCGCGGCGCGGGTTGCTCCGATGCGCGTTTTAGCGCCAATCCCGTGCCGCGCGCCTTCGTATCGCTCACGTGCGCTTGACCGATTTTGTAAATATTGTATAGACCCACGGTGTAGACCACCGTCGACAGAAGTCGTTTGTTTTAAGACTGTTAAAGTACCTAATATAAATAAATATGTATTATTATTCTTTGACTTTTTTACTTCCTATTTTTTGTAAGGTCTACTTTCCTTTACATTAATCGATATTAAGCTCTGCATTATTGTCTTATACTATTCTAAACATCCTCTAACTTAGGGCTCATTTTGCTTTATAACAAACAGGCTGAGAGAAGCTATGAACTTTTTGACGATAGTACATCGTACAAATGTCACTGCGCAAAAGGTCGCGCTGTTAGTCCTTCACACGATCCCATACTGTTGCAAAACATGAAACACCTTCACTTTAACCTCTACTTTTTCTAATACATTGTACTCGTAATTGGATTCATTGTTATAAGATTGAATGGAAATTTCTCAATGAGGACGTAGGTGAATATTGAAAGTGAAATCAATTGAACTTGAGTGACATTGTTTAGCAGAATACAAATGACTTGTCTGTGGTTGACAGAGTAATTACCGTTGTCGTGTATGTGTTAATGGTGTTTTTGATGTACAAAAAATAAAATTACATAGTGATAAAATGCATGACAATTATTTAACGACAATTTATTTGCCGTATTTTTCATGTAGGCATGTGTCATAGAGATCCATGCATAACCTTGATTGTAACAAGAATAAGCTTATAATGAAATGTGTGCCTAAGCTGTCAAGCAGGAGTCACTTATATCTGGTCTAACAGCTTTCTCGATACAGATCCATATGAAAAAGTAATACTATTCCTTTCGAAGAAATGTGAATCAGCTTTTTAAAAGTTCGATCTAAAAACTATAAATCACGTACTTTCGCTTGATAAAATGTTTAGCTGTCGACCGCGACATAGTCGGCGCGTAAAAATCTAAAAAAATTGTCAAAATCAGATTTACATTGTAGGCTAACAAACAAACTTACCTTAGAGTATGAATAATTTCGCAGTAGTGTTTTCAATATAGAACTTCGATATTCACCGAGGTCATTGTGTCTCTTGTAAAATTGTCTAAAATTACTGAATTCTGACTTTGTGTGTATTACTTATTCCTTTAGTCAGTTAATAATATATTTTCTTATTAATAATAAATAATGTTTTAGTTTTGCAAACCGGGTTTATACGACCTATATATATGTATAGATACGTATATACGACTGCTAAGTTTAATTGCTGTGAGTCGCACTCGACTTGGTAGTAAAGAACTATTGTCTTATGGTCTTTCTATAGAAAAAATCTTAAGGAAATAGGTTTTTTTTATACAGGGCAATCGGGCAGGAGGCTTTAATAAAATCGCTAGTAACAGCTCTCAGCCAAACTAATGTGCCGCAATTGAATAAATTTTTGTCTCCATAATACTCGCCCATGATTGAATTAAAACAAAATTAGACAAAAGTTAGAGAGACTTAGTGTTTTTTTTTGTATCAAGGAATTTATATTGTATTGTGTTTTAATTAGAGTCAACCATTGAAATTATAGTAAAGGGTCAATACATATTTAGTGTTTTTAATTCCAACATACTTAGATAAAATCAAATCTACGATAGTTGATTTTGGATACAGCCCGCTTAAGATTTGGTAAAATGTAATTACTTTGTTGCATCATATCATCAGCTATTTGTTATAAAATGCTTTAGATTTGTAAACATGTAAACTGCTAAAAAAAATCAATTTCAATATATAATAATCAATATATATAAAATCCAAAAAAAATACTATGAGAGCTCGCATAGAAAATACTTACACTTACTATGTTGTACTGACATAATCGTTTATTACATTTATAGTTATAATATTAATTATAATTAGTATATAACCATACATTTATATGGTAACTCAGTGTAAGTCTTAAATAAATGGCTTTAAATTGATTTCTTTAAATGAACAACTCTGACGGCTGAAATCATATTTATAAGTACAGAATCGTAAAAGCAAGTAAAAATAAGGCTACGAGGTTATAAATGTCTATAATATAGGTGATCAACTTTCAGAGACCTTACCGTAATGCAAAAAATCTATGCTACCATTGTAACAACGGTCAATTGTGTGAAAAAATAACGGGTTATTAAATATATTTTGACCTCGTGAGTAACTGTACCGAGTTCTTGTCTCCGCAAACATCTACGATATGCAAATTGTTATATTTTACTAACCTAAAATAGTTTGTTTTCTTAAGTTAATACATTAAGTTTTATTGTTGAATTCTAATTATGAAATAAAACTCAGGTGAAATCGTTTGGGAATATAATATTCGATTTTTTTCGATTAGAATCAATTTCTAGTAGACCATGCCAATACCGTTTGTTTCTCATATCTTCTGCGGCCTTTACTGTGTCACCTTTAATATAAAATTGAAAAAGGATTTATTTGTGATTTGACCAGTGTTCTAAAAGTAAATTATTTCATTTAGTTCCACTTTCAAGAATATTCTGGTCATAGACAAATTAATGTATGGAGTGGTAATTGTCAGTACTCGAGACAGATGTAAGTAAATTGTCAATTATCTGTAACTGCATAATGACGTGTCAGCTGCAATTATTGTTAAGTTAAATTATACATTGTTAACAACTAAAAATAGCATGTTTGCAATTGTTTAATTACATTTTTCTCTGAGTCGGTAGTCGCCTGCTTAGGATTGTAAGAGTCAATTGCGGTTTCCTATAGAATTTCACCCAGGACGGAGTTTTTCTTCACCGTACGAGTGAGCGGTAGCCACAGCCAAAACTCGAACGCACGGCCTCGGACTCTTTACCCAGCAGCAGTTGAAATTCGTTCTCTTTTAGCTTGAACTTAAATTAATTTTATATAAAACTATTCAAAGATAACGATTTTTCTATAATAATATTTTAATAAAGTTTACGCTTATATCAGTGCGTTAGGAGAATGTACCAATATACCTATTGCAAAAACAGCAGGGTCGACTTGATAGGATTGTCAATAAAGAAAGATTCCTATTTTGATTATTGATACAATAAACCGAGGCCGTCAGCAAGGCTTCCTTCCCCATTAGTATTTGTAAATTTAATTATTTTTTTAATGTGTTATAAAAACTTAATCAGTCTTAAGTCTTATAACTAAAGTACTCTTTTGTCTCTTTCTAGAAAACTGTGTTTACGTTGTGATGAATAGAGACAGATGAGTACGTTAAAACAGTGCAATTGGATAGATTATTATTTATGAATAAGGGTTACGCTTATAACAGTGCGTTAGGAGAATGTACAAATATACCTATTGCAAAAACAGAAGCGTCGACTTGAATTAAAAAAAATTAAACGACGTAGAATCTAGAACTAGCAATTCCTTAACTGGTAATATTACAAAACGTTTTTTAAATATTGCAACCCACATTACTCGCCTAACTCGTAGCTAATTAAAAATCGAATTTCACCGTGTTTAAAAATGTTGTTTTACTGTAGCTGGTTTTAAAAATGGAATGCGGCCGTGTCAAATGGTAGCGACCACATGTTAGATTGGTAATAAAGAATGATTGGACAAAGCATTAGAAAAAAACATGAAAGGGCGCCGAGGGATGATACAGGTAGCGTAAGACATGATTGAGCATTGCCTTTGTAGAAAATTTTATATCACACAATTAAAAAGGATGTTTTGTCCAAATGATTGTACAGAAAGAGGAAATATTTCATTTTACCTTCAATTCAGGCATAATAAATTCTTAAATCCTATGGTGTAATTAGTTATGTATACATTATAAACCTATGGTTGGTGTTATTACATAAGGTGGCGTAAATAAATCAATGTGTAATTCTAACCGGACAAACTATAAAGCTTCTTTTAAAGAAATCGGTAAGAAGATATTTAATATTGAAAGAACCTTTGCGATAAGTAACTTCTTGGTACATCTCATTCTGTGGATAAGGCGTTGATAGCATTTTTAAAATGTCAAAAGATAGGATTGTCAATCTTGTTTTAGATTAGTTTTTTTGGATTCTGATATTAACTCAATAGGGGCTGTCACACAATTTATCAGCATACATTGATCTGTTTATTATACAATATCTATGCGATCAATTGCGCAGTAACTAGGGTTACCAACTTATATTAGGCAAAAATAAAATAAAATAAAATAAATTAAACTAAAATGCCTTTAAAGTAATCCCTACTATTGACTATTTTACAAATTTATGTTAGTAATATATAAATATAAATAAATTATAAATGTAATATAATAAATTATAATATATAATATAAATTATAAATGTATTAGTAATACTGAAGAAATCGAAAGCCTCCAAAACTCTAAAAAAACTGTTTTGTTCCCTTCCCCTATACGCCCCAAATAACCTTCTATTTGGGGCGTAAAGGGGAAGGGGAGGGGGGTTCGTATTACTCGAAATCTAAACCGTCAATTAGTCTGAATAATCACTGAGTTCCTGCAAGTCGTTTTAGAACATATCTCTCTATCTAAAACTCGAAAAATTTAATTGGCCCTCTATATTTCGAACATAGCAATGTTTTATTTTACAAGTTACCTTTACAACTCGATAATTTGAAACGTTTTACGTCTTGTTCGAATACTTAAATTTTATTCATTTCACAACTCTAACTAAAATGAGTAAGAATAAATTAGGGATGCATCCGATACCGATGCCGATACCGATATATCGGCGATACTTTGGGTTTGCCGATATATCGGCATCGGCGATATTTTCATTGCCGATTCACAGATACTTTTCAAATTTCACGCTTTAAAAAAATAATGTAAACGCGCATTTTGTATGATCTAGTTTGTTGCAAACGAGTTAATAAAATACAGAATTATAACAATGTTATCATTGTTAATTTTAATTATTAACAGTTATTTATTTTATTTTATTTTATTTTAATTATTACTCTTAATTCTTAATTTTAGTAAAGGTTTTAACTTTAAAATTATTCAAAGTTTGTGACTATTTTTTGTATATATATTTTTTTAATAAAAATTACTTTAACTTAACTTG